TGGCAAGATAACAAAACATCATATAGCAAGCATTAAAAGCCTGATGGCACAGAATAGACTTTGTGACACATATCATAAAAACAGGAGGAACCAATCCTCCTTCCACTGGAAAGTTGTTGCATAATCAGGGTGCTGCAATCTAGAAGAACCCATATTGAGTAGGCACAACCTAGTCTCTCTACTATAGGTGGTAGGATATGTAATAGGGTTCCCAACAATCATCCTAAATTATAGGATGATACAAGAGGAAGATACCTATCCATAAATAATTTATAATTCTAGTTCAGCATCTGGTTATTCTTCTAGAAATATACTAGAATTCAGTTATTCTGAATCTAGCACCAGAATAACATGGATGCATGTATCATCAGGTCATGAGCAAACCTGTTTCTATGAGTTCAATCCATCCTGATGAAGCAACCAACCAAATATCAAACAGTTCCAAGACTGTCAGATTTGTGTCTTCAGTATTTCCTCCCAAATCTCTCAATGCTTGAACTATTTTTACTGAAGGGGGAAAAAAAATCAGAATAAGGGGAATATTTCTATTTTACCTATTTCAAAATTGTAAAAATCTATTGTTTTGTTCTCTAGTCTCACTCAAGCTGAGGCATATTCCCTTCCCGACTTTTTTGTCTTCTTCTGAGTGAGCCAGCTGTCTTGTAGATCAGCAGAGTTTATTTTTGCTGGCTGGGATACAAACCTCGAGTTATTAATATGGGAGAGAATTCTGCTAGCTGACAATTTAAGATAAAGTAAATTGGAAGTGACATAAAAGAGTGTGAGAGTGTTAATGTGCGTCACCAAGCTTCTTTTTCTGACATCCTGAAAGGTCTCGCCTGTATGGCCGACACTTGCAACCTGTATTAGTGACCCGGTGTTATTAAAGGCTAGGCACTCCCATTGATTTGTAAAAGTGACAGGTGCAGCAAGAGTTGTAAATTAGCAATGAAAAGCTAACTCTCTGTGGATTTTCAAGCTTGTTTCTTCCTATGCACACTCCCCATTCTCAGTAATAATTTGCACACATATATTTTACTAACTCCTTGCACAAAAACATTTAAATGTTTAACTACTGTAAATCTTCTGTACATACAGAAAAACAATTTTAGTTCCATTTCTGCTGAAAATGGGCTTTGCTATGTGGAAAAAATAACTTTTTTTCCTCTTCTTACTTGTTAACTACTTTGCTGAATTGCAGCAAGGTCACCTTGGGTTAAAGCTTCGATCCCCTTTCATGCTGGACTCAGTGGATTTTATGTAGAATATTTCAAATCTTGTTTGAAGAAGGGAAATATTTGTGATGATGAGGATTAAAATCTAACTTCCCACCTAATGGAACTTCCTATAGTTATTGAGAAGGGATATTTGGTTTTATAAATCCAAACTTATAAATGAAGAACAGTATTTGAAACACTTTTCTTTCATTCTATACATCATCATGGCTATATGCAGAAAATGGTTTGTTTAAATAGCTTATGGCTAAAAGGTGAGTTAGGGAAAACTACTTCTAGATGGATATAACAACCTTTTCAGGTACCAGGAATTCTCACACAATCTCATAGAATAGCAAGGTTCCAGCATATGAACCACAGAGTGGTCTAAGCATTGCAAGATTTCACATGCTATGTCTTCCAGCAGCCCTAGATGAAAACCTTTATTGTTATGATTGTATTAAAAACAGATTATGACTTAAAGGCTAGATATTGTTTCAAGAAAGTAAAATGTGAGCACTGAAAGGTCACGCTTCCAGGAGACTTCTGGAGACTTCTGGGGTGATTGGACTGGTTCCTTGGAACCTCTCCAGATAAGAAGAGGATGAGAGATCACCCACATGTGCTCCAGATGGCTGCTCCTCACAAAGAGACCACAGGACACCAGTTTTGCATGGGTTTGAATACTGGGAGATGATGGGACCAGTCATCTTGTTTGCAACCGTGGGGGAGCCTTTTAAAGGACACTAAGTTTGCAAACCTAACTTTCTAATCACTTTCAGAAGTTGCCTATTAACCATCTTAAAGCTATTAGAGACCTTAAGAATTGTAAGTTTGAAAAGTTTCATCTGAGTGAGTTTATCTTCACCTCTGAATAAAAGAAAAATTAATTATAAGCTTAAGAACTTTAAAAAATTGAAATAAACAGCAAAAAGCTAAGTGAGATTTTGATCTAAGAAAGTTCTAAATGGATTAAGGGCTCAGATAAATTTGGAATATTGACTTTTACTATAAGATTTTGGAATTAACTATAAAAATAAACAGCTTCTCATGGGAAACAGACTTATTTTGGCTATCCTGGTTATTGTAAGTTGTAACAAACTTTAGAAACTGGATACTAAAGGGGACTAAAGATTCTAAGCAGAAGAAAAAAAATGCAAGCCTGTTCTTGATGGCAGTTAATACTGGGACTTACAAAATGACACAAAGCGTTATAACATCAGAAACATTAAAGAAAATCTTTGAAGAATGGAGCCAGAAATTAGTAACTACAATATCAACCTTGTCAGTAATGATGTCTGCTTCTATGGATAGACTTTGTCTAAAAGAGGTTAATGAAGGAATAACAGATGTGGAACAAGTTTTATCTGACAAGACAGAGAAAGTACTGAAAGTGGAATTACAAGTGACAGGCCAAGAGAATGATTTGGAAAAGGATGCTTTGCTAGATATACAAAAGGAACTGGCTGAAGTTTAAAAAATTAAAAGGGAAATATAAATGATAAATGATAAATGATAAATGAATGACCTGGAAAATATTTTTTTATTGGATCTACAAAGAAGCTTGTTAAAGCCTTGAAGAAATCTGTATGATGGGATAAAGAAGAATTGAAAAGAAATCAAATGCTGTGACAATATTTGATTATATTAAAAATTAAGACTGTTAGAAATAAAAGGAAAGAATATAAAGTTGGTTTATTTGGTCAAGGTTAAAATAAAACATTTTCTGTAAAGTTCTGGCAACCTTTATGGACGTTTTGCTGATACCAGGACTGAAAGTTGATGTTTTATGGATTTGCTTATAGATAAGGGACGGGATATGGGATGAAGAGATATCTGTTTGTAACCTTATAGGGAGTGAAGAGTTATTAAATTTGTTTATACTTGTAATGAAGGTTGGAAGTCACTTGTTTATATATTTTCTTTTCCTTTATTCTTTTCTCTTTTTTCTTTTTCTTTTCTCCTGTACTTTTGATTTGTTTTTTTTTTCCT